CTTAGCATAGTTAAAAAAAAATAACACACATACAAAAACAGGAGGTGCCTAATTCTGAAATGGAAAATGCTTTCCTTCTAGAATGAAGCCAAGCATGTCAGTGATAGCAACCCACCCTGGCTAGTGAGGCAGGAATTAAAAGCATCAACAGAAAAGGGGGAGGTGACCAATAATATAATAAGAACCTCTTTTCTTCTTTCTCCCATGCTCCCTTTTGACACAAAAAGGAGAAAAATGGGTTCCTAGACAAAGGACAAACATTACAAGAACAGTTTTCTATAAATTCAAAATTGTTATTATCCCAGTAATAAAAACTTTAATTTCTATTACTGTTTAAAATAACTAATCAAATAAGTGAATCAATATAAAAAGCCAGCTACTACACGTGAAAAAACAACACAAACCAAAAGCATACTTACTGATAGCTGGAGCTATTCCACCTACTGACCCAGGGCCAGGGATGTTTCCTGCCACTGCTGCTGCCTGGGCAGCTGCTGCAGCTTGTGCAGTGGCTGCCTGCTGCTGCATCTGACGATGACACTGCCGCAAATCAAAGACCTTTAAAAAAGGACAGGTTTAATGTTATGAGTCCACCAGAAAAGATTCTGTACATCAAAAATCCATGCACAACTAATTTAAAACGTACAGCTTTATTTAGCTCTCTTAAACTGAAAAACGTAAGTTTTTATGTGTACTGTAATATATAGGAAAGCTGGCCAAGTGACACATTTCACCATCAGGACAGTGGTGGTTGCTACATGCCTCTGAATCTTTGATCTAATTCAGTGTGGGTCAGCGTTATTGTCCCTGTGAAAAACAACCCCTTTGTGTAAAATAAAGTTAAGAAATCACTCCCTCCCTTTCACAGCAAATTGCTACAAGTTTTCTTTCGAATGAATTGATGACCTTGGTGAGTAATATAGCCAACTTCTTTTCTTTATCATTCCAGCTATTTGGAGTGATAGACGGCATTGTCACCTTATTTCTTTAAATCTGCATTTTTAAGAAATGCATACTTTATTACATAAGAGCAAAATAACTTCTGTCTGGTACATAGTATATATTCAATACTGTCCTGTTCTGTTCATTCACTTCAAAGGACAAATAATCCAAAGACTTCATGTCAGGATGGTGGAGTAAGGTATGCATAACCACCTTCTCTTTCTGCTCCATTTACATGCAAAAGACAGAAAAACTATTAAAAATTGAAAAGCTCGCCTGGCTGGTGTAGCCAGTGGTTGTAGACTATGAACCTGGAGGTCACGATTTGACATGCCCGGGTTCTGGGTCGGGCGGAGAGGAGTGAAAGAGGCAGCCAATCAATGAATGACTCACTCATCATGGATATTTCTCTCTCTTCCTCTCTGAAACAAATAATATATTTTTAAAAATTGATATCCTCCAAGCCAGTCATATAATTCCTGTGGATATATCAACGAGTGGCAATAGCCAAAATAATCCTAAAAAATAACAAATTTAGAGAATTCACACTTCCCAATTTCAAAACTTGCTGCAAAGCTACAGTAATTGAAGCAGAGAAGTGCTCTCATAAGAATAGACACACAGATCAATGAAATACAACTGATAGAATAGGAATAAGCCTTTATATTTAAGGTCAACGTAATTTTAACAGGGGTATCAACATAATTTGATAAGGGAAACGGTCTTTTTGACAAATGGTTGCTGGAACAACTGAATAGTCTCGTGCAGAAGAACGAAGCTGGATCAACCTCCTTAAACTATGCACAGAAATTCACTAAAAATGTCTAACAGGCCTAAATTTACAGCCAGAACTATAAAACCCTTAGGACAAAACACAGGAGTCATACATTTTCAGGACCTTGGAGTAGGCAATAGATTCTTAGATATGACACCAAAAACACACCAATTCAAAGAACAGATAATCTCAAAGATACCAAACTGAACAACTTTTGTGTGGGTTGCAAATCATATCAAGAAAATGAAAGACAAGCCAAACAAAAGAAGAAAAAATTTTCAAATTATATATCAGACAAGGGAGTGATACCAGAATATATAAAGAACTCTTACAACTCAATAATAAAAAGAAAATCCAATTTAAAAAAAATGAACAAAAGATCTAAACAGACATTTTTCCAAAGAAGATATATGAATGACCAATAAGCACCTGCAGAGATATTCAACATTATTAGCTATTAGGGAAATGCAAATCAAAATCACCATGAGATACCACTTCACATCCACTAGGAAGGCTAAATAAGAAGGATAACCAGTGTCGATGAGCATATAGAGAATTGAAACCTTCATATATATTAGTTGTACCGGTTAATAATGCGGATTTTTTTCAATAGATGGAGTTACACATATGTTGATATATATGCGATTTGATATGTATGCCATTTTGTTGCATTGACAGCAAGTTTCATACTTCTTGTGCCAAATTTGCTGGTGTTAACATAATAGATATTTTTACACTTAAAAATGTCGAATTTCGTGCCCCAAAAAAAGGATTTGTGGGAAGTTTTAATTCATTATTTTGAAGAAAAAAGTTATTGTATACTTCGGGAAGCTTATGGTGAACACGCTCCATCTCAAGATACTTGTGAATGCTGGTTCTAATGCTTTAAAAGTGATGATTTCGATGTGAAAGACAAAGGACGTCCAGGTCAACCGGAAGAAGAAAAATTACAAGCATTATTGGGTGAAGATGCGTGTCAAACTCAAAAACAACTTGCAGAAAGTTAAATGTTGCTCAGCAAACAATTTCTGATTGTTTACAAGCAATGGGAAAGATTTTGAAGGAAGGAAAATGGGTGCCACATCAATTGAACAAAAGACAAATGGAAAACCGAAAAGTCATCAGTAAAATGTTGCTTCAACAGTACAAAAGTCTTTTTTGAATCAAATTGTGACTGGCAATGAAAAGTGGATTTAGTTTGAGAATTCCAAATGCACAAAATCATGGGTTGATCCAGGTCAAACATCAACATTGACCGCAAGGTCAAATCGCTTCAGAAAGAAGGCAATGCTCTGCGTTTGATGGGATCAGGAAGGTGTGGTGTATGATGAGCTTCTAAAACCAGGTGAAACCATTAACATTGATTGCTACCAAAAACAAATAATCAATTTGAACCATGCTTTGAAACGACCAGGATGTGACACGGCAAAATAATTTTGCTTCATGATAAAGCACCATCACACACTTCAAAACCAGTTAAAGACACATTAAAAGACCTTGCCTGGAAAGTATTAACCCACCCGCTGTATTCACCAGACCTTGCTCCTTCATATTACCACTTGCTCCAATCGATGGCACCCGCACTTTCTGAGCAGCACTTCAAAACATACGAAGAAGTGGAAAATTGGATCTCTCAAAACAAGAAAAGTTCTATTGGGACGGTATCCACAAATTACCTGAAAGATGGGGAAATGTGTAGCTAGCGATGGACATTACTTTGAATAAAGCACTTTTGATGTTTTTCTTGAAATTATCATGTTTTCTTTGATTATAAAATTTGCCATTATTAACCGGTACACCTAGTACATTGCTGGTGGAAATGTAAAAGGGCATGGCCACTTTTGAAAAACAGTCTGTCGTCCCTCAAAAAGTTAAGCATAGACTTGCCTATGATCCTGCAATTCCACTCCTACTTATATATCCAACAAAATGAAAACACACATCTGCCTTAAAACTCCAATATGAATGCTCATAGCAGCATTATTCCTAGTAGCCAACAAGTGGAAACAACCCATAGTCCATCCAATGATGATGGACAAATCCACAGTGGGCAGCAGGGCTAAAGACCTTGGGGTCCCAGGACCACAAACGGTAGATGCAGAGGACAGAAGTTCTGCTTCTTAGAATAGAATAAAATGGAAAGAGACAATAGCCAGGCTCTCTGGGGTCTATCAGTGGGCACCTGCCCATGAGTGAAAGGCTGGCGAAATGCCTTACAGCTAACCCAGAAAGGCACCCAGGCAGATTCTCTCGCCCAGGGCAGAGGTGAGCATCAGAAGAACCTCTGCCACAGGACTCAGGCCCTGAGGATTGGACCCAGGGATTGGAACTCCTCTACCTTCTAAATGGAAAAGCTGGCTCTGAGATATGGATCCCTGGATGCCAGCCTCAGGCAGAATGGCTTCAAAGGGAGAAACCATGACAGGGAGTAAAAACAAAAACTAAGCTCTGGCCAGCGTGGCTCAGCTGGATGAGCATCATCCTGTGTCCTGGAGGGGCATGGGTTCAATTCCTGGGTAGGACACCTGCGGAAGGCAGCCATCTGTTTCTCTCTCCCATCAATGCTTCTTTTTCTCTCCCTTCCTCTCTAACATTAAAATATTTAAAATATATATGCATATATATTTAGGCTATCTCATTATAATAATATTTCTCTTTCAAGCAGTGGTTATCGAAATAAAATGAGTTGAATATGTAATAATTAATAAAAAATACCTTAGGCTAATTTGAAAAATGACAAAGTAAATAACTAGTTTAATTCCAAAATAACTAACTTTAAAAAACCTACTATTGAATTTTTCATTTCTCAGGTTTTTAATTAAAAAAATAATTAACATTAGAATTTCCTGTCATAAAATCCTAAAAATTGGCTAAGATGGAATTCCAAAATCTTACAAGTTTTCAACTAAAGAATATGGTTGTTGGTTTTCACTCAAATGTTTTTAGAGTCTGTGTATTACTCTAAAATGTTTAACAAATTTGCTATTAAAATAATAGGGCATGAGTGTAATCACAAAACAAGATAACCAGCCATGTCAATAAATGCCCCCCAAAAATGTGTTTTAAAAACAACATAATTTCTGAGACTTAATACATAAAAAGACATTTTTTTCTCTTCCCTCCTCCAACCCAATTCTTATATCTAAGGAGAACTTCCACTCACCTTTATATACGCACTTGGGTAGATTTTATGAACAGCATCTCCAGGTGCACGCCCAGCTTCTCTGTCTAAGTAATAACTCTGTACAAAGACTGCATGGTCACTGAGGCACCTAACCCAAACATCACCTTCACCTTTACATTCCAATTGTACACCTTTGCCTATGTGCAACCTTTGGGAGAAAAAGGAAATTATATTTTACTTTGATAAGTATTAAAAAAATACATATCAGAATACCCAATACTAAAAAATTAAAAAGAACTTTAAAAGTACTTTATGTAACACCACACCAAAAGGTCGCCATTGTTAATTTTTTGTATATTTCCTTCCTTTTTAAATGTCTTATTCATATATAAAAATGATGGAGATATATATGAAATGCTTAGAAATATTTAACATAAACTCTCACTGAAATCTCACAATTCCATGATCTAAATATTAGTATTTTATAAATGACTAAACTAAGGCTTATAGCTACTGTCCAAACTGATAGTCACTAGCTACTATAAGTGGCTATTTAATTTAATTAAAAATAATTTAGCCCTAACTATATAGTTTGGCTCAGTGGATAGAGCACTTGCCTGCGGACTGAAGGGTCCCAGGTTGGATTCTGGTCAAGGGCATGTACTTGGTTGCAGGTACATCTCCAGTAGGGAGTGTGCAGGAGGCAGCTGATTGATGTTTCTCTCTCATCGATGTTTCTAACTCTCTCTCCCTCTCCCTTCCTCTGTTAAAATCAATGAAATATATTTTTTAAAAATAATTTTAAAATTCAGTTAATCATATGACTATATCTTAAGTGCTCAACGGTTACACATGGCTAGTGGTGCAGTGCTGGACAACACAGATACAAACCATTCCCTTCATCACAGACATTTCTTAGACTGCACTGGCTTAGAGACCAGGTAATTTGCCAAAGACACACAGTTAGCAATAGAGCCAAGATTCTGTATTTACACACATACACATTTTCTTAGAGTTGAGATTACAAAATACCTAACACTGTGTATGTTTTCCTATAATATTTTATCTTAAGCATTTACATTTAATTATATAAACTCTAGGGGCCCGGTGCACAAAATTCGTGTACTTGGGGTGCAGGGGTCCCTCAGCCCAACCTGCCCCTCTCATATACTGGGAGCCCTCAGGGGATGTCCTACTGATGGCTTAGGCCCCCGCTTCCCTTTGTGGGAGGCAACCTGCTGATCAGGGGAGGCACCAGCCCCATCACCCTGCTGCTGCAGCCACTGCCAGTCACCACGATGTTTTCATCAACACAGACTCCAGTCCCTTCACCAAGAAAAAATGACAACTTTCTTTAGGCATTTTCAAAATGTGTCTTTCATAGGATATGCATTTATTTATTTATTTATTTTTTTAATCCTCACCTGAGGATATGTTTCCATTGACTTTTAGAGAATGTGGAAGAGAAAGGGAAAGACAGAGAGAAACTTGAAAATGAGAGGAACACTTTGATTGGTTGCTTCCTGCATGAGCCCTGATCTGGGCCCTGGGCAGGAAGGAGCCTGCAACCTAGGTACATGTCCTAGGTCAGAATTGAACTCAAACCCTGCTGTCTGCAGGCTGAGGCATTATCCACTGAGCCAAACCGCCTAGGGCAGGATATGACATTTCGTAGCCCTCCAGCAGTGGACCTTCATTTTTTACTCTATAAGTGTGGTGGCAAACCCTAGATCACCTTTTTTGGATTCTTATTACCTAAGTTACTAAGAATATTACCAGTGGCATACAGGAAGCTTAGCCAATGAGCAGTCAGAAAAGGTGTTTCCTTGTAGTTCACGTCAATTGAGGGCTGGGCCCTGCTCAGGCATAAAGCCTCTGGCCAAAGCTTTAGGCCTGGGCAGGGCCCCTCCAGCTCCCTCTGATCACCGGCTCAGCCCCTGCCCAGGCCCGCCCAGGCCGAAAGCCTTTTAGGCAGGAACGAACCCCCAGCTCACTACGATAGATCCAAGGGGTCTGCTTCTGCACCAGGCCGAAGTGACCCCAGCTCTCTGCGACCGATGGCAGGGGGTCCGCTCCGCCTTACCTCACAGTGACCTGGGTGCCCGGATGTTCCTGGGACACAGGCCCTGAGCTCCTCTGTATGCAAATTAACCGCTATCTTTTTGGTGTTAATTTGCATAGTCACTCTGGCTATAGGCATAGTGGAAATATGGTCAATTTACATGTTTGTCTATTATTAGGTAAGATTTTATTAACATTTTAATAACTACATAAAAATAAAAGTTTATCAAAATTTACTCAACCACTTCCTTTTCATTGTTTCCCAACATTATAAATAACACATGCAGAGCCCTAATTTTATATTATTTCCTTCAAATAGATGTGTAGAATATATGGTCTTGTTACTATTCAAAATAGGAACATTACTTACAAACAGAATCTTAAAGATTCCATGTTTTGGCACAATAGAATATTATGTAGCAACAAAAAGGAATAAAACCTTGTCATTTTTGACAACATGGGTATTATGCTAAGTAAAATAAGTCAGGCAGAAAAGACAAAGATTGTTATGATTTCACTTCTATGGGAATTGAAAAATAAAATAAAAACAGATTCATAGAAATAGAGATCAATAGGATGGTTACCATAAAGGAAGGAATAGAAGGATGGGTGAAAAGAGGAATGGGAATTTAGTTAATATTGTGATATTTGACATAATTGATTACTAAAATTAGTGGGGTGATCACATTGTAAGGTATAAAAATGTCGAGTCACTATATTGTACACCTGAAACTGATATAACCAAGATAAGATTGTATATCAATTGTATATAAATTTAAAAAATAAGTTTTTAAAAATATCTTTTTTAATATTTTAAATAACAAACATCTGCAATACAAGTGGAATGCTTACTAATTCTGAATTTTCAAGATGACCTTTACTTCTTTTTTCCGAGTGGAATGAATTCCCATTATCTACACTGAGAAATATAACTGACTAAAAGGACAATGTAGTGTATACAACTTGTAAAATACCTATACAATCAATACCTTGCTCTCTCAATGGCTTCTGTCCTGTGGACATTGGAGAGTTGACCCAAGCAAAAGCGATCTCCTCCAGAAGGGTCCACATATCCATCAACAGTAACAATAGGGCAGCTGGAAGGAACCTTAAATGTCTCTCCTACTTGAACATCCATTTCAAAGTAAGCGATGGAACACCAATACTCAGGAGCTACAGAAGAAAATGGGAGCAAACATCACTCCATAAGGCAAAGCTGTTCCTCAAATACAGGCTGAAGGGACAGAAGAGGAATCTGAAAGCACCCAAAAGAATTGGGTAAAATGATGCTTGAAATATCTAGGCATTTTCCTGTCTTCTATTTTTCAGCTCAGTGCCTAGCATTCTCAAAACTCTAGTCATTTTTTAAATCTGGAATTTGGTTCTTACCTCAAAAGACCCATTCAACTGAGAATTCAAAGAACAAAAGTAATCAGGACAGAAAATAAATTATTTTACTATGGCATTTCATTTCACATATTTTTTTTAATTTTTAAAATTGATTTTGAGAGAGAGAGAAAGAGACTAATTTGTTGCTCCTCTTATATTTATGCATTCATTGGTTGATTCTTGCATGTGTCCTGACAGGGGACCAAACCTGTAGCCATGGTGTATCTGGACAATGACCTAACCACTAAGGCAGACTCAACTTTTCTTTTTCTAAACACACTGACTTTAAGACATACTCTGAGGAATATTATCGAAAACATCAACCCATAGCATATTTTTCTAGTTCCCTAATTGAGTGTAAGGACCCAAGCTAGTCTGCCATTCATTCAGACCAGCCAAGGTTAATTGCACTCTAACTAGATAGCTGCTGTGAGCGGCAATGCTCAATCCTCTCTTGGCTGAAAGGTCATTTGTTGTATCACTTAGTGAAGTCAAGTCATGTTTGCCACTATGCTTTTAACGCTGAAGATGCATTTAGTGTGTTCATTTGAACAACAACAAATGGTTTAAAATAACAGTGAATGATTTGGGGGAAAGGAGGCACTACTTGGTTGGGTTTGTCAAGTTTCTGCTGACAATTACTTATCTGCACGTCAACATGCCACTTATGAACTCTGACTGAACTAGGAGGAGAAGCAACATAATTCTTAACAATCTGAAAGAATAGCCAGGACCGGTTAGGCTCAGTGGATAGAGCGTCGGCCTGCGGACTGAAGGGTCCCGGGTTCGATTCTGGTCGAGGGCATGTGCCTTGGAGGCGGGCACATCCCCAGGGGGTGGGGGGTGTAGGAGGCAGCTGGTCAATGTTTCTCTCTCATTGACGTTTCTATTTTCTCTCTCATTGACGTTTCTAACTCTCTGTCCCTCTCAATTCCTGTGTAAAATCAATAAAATATATATATATATATAAAAAAACAATCTGAAAGAATTGAAAAATGATCTTTTCAACCCTGTCTCAAAAAAACCTTAAAATGAAGTATAATTGATGCTTAAAATACGTTTTTAAAAAACCTGTATTTTATGCATCTAATTGATCTTCTAAATGTTACCAAGAAAGAAAATACTTTCTAATAAAGAATAAAATGGACCGTGAAGATACAAAAATTAAAATTCATGTTTTCTCAAACAAATCAAATCAAGTAATCATGAATACAAACATTCCTTTAAATATTTTTTATTGTCATTACAACAGGAAAACTAGTGACTCAAATGCCTTATTAAAAATCCCATTCTGAAATATTTATCAAGTTATTCCTTAGAGTAAAATTCTTCAGTCAAGACAACACGTTCTGCTTTGAACAAGAAACTTCACAAACACCTGGCAGGGAGGCTGCATAGAGCTAAACCAGAGGTTATCGAAGCCAATATGCCAAGCACCCGTGTGCCCTGGCAGCTGAAACCACCGATAGCACTGAACAGAGGTCTTCACACAATGAGTTCAAACAGTACATTTTGGTACAAACAATGCCCTGAAGTCATGAGTGTTTACAATGGTAGTAAAAAAACGAGGTGCAAATAAATACATGCCTCTCCTAGTTTATTATACACCGAAGAACACTATCTAGAAGGAAAGTTCCACAGCGACCAATGCTTTTCATGAGTCGGTTCAGGCTGGGGAAAAGGAGTTGTAAAATCTTGTTTACATTAAAAAACATACTGTTATCATGAACTGCAATGTCTGTACCTGCATTTACACCTTATTTCTTTTCCAGTCACCAAGGGTGTTTTGTCTGTTTCCCTAATATTCCAGACATCATACAGCAAGGATGTTACGTGAAGCTACTCTCTGAATAGCTGATCCGCTCGGCTGGGAAGGAGAGAGGGACCACAGACCAGGAAGGAAAACTGAGCATCTGTTCTGAAGAGGGCATGAGGCCTAAGAAAGCAGGAGGAAGGGGTCACTGGCAGTGAGCACAGAGGGCCAGAGGTCATCTAAATGGATTCCAGGGACCTTGGCAGTGTGAGAGCTTGTCTGTTCCACTCCCAAGGTGCTAACCAGACCAGAGGGAACCTTCTCACATTTAAACCAGGAGCAGGTCTTAGGAATTCATTAAGTTCATGAGGCCTTTCTGAACCTCTCTTTGCTCATTTTGCTCCAAGAACCAAAGGCCATGTCAGTGCCAAACCTGCAGCTTCCCATCATTCCCATCACCGCAGGCTGAGATCACTCAGTCGGAGAGCACTTGCTGAATGCCCCAACTTGTTTCAAAGGAAGTGGGCTGTTCTCTGCTCAATGTACCAACCATGGATACTCTGTGTCTTGTTCCCAAATGAGTGAAGTTGGCCAGAGAAAAGGTTGTAAAAGGCTGAGTTATCAACATGAAGATTTTCTCACAATGTTAAGAACCTCACTAAATTATGTGTTGTAATGAGAAGCATAAAGCACAGCTTTATCAAATAAATGCTGTTCAATGGAAAATCTACATCTTCAAGGTATTATCTTTAATTTCTGAAATCACGTCAGTCAAGAAAATATTTTTAAATTTGGTTAACTTTTTTTAAAGTTAGAATCTTGATAAAGAACTTGAAAGATTCATTATGAATTAATCTTTATATTATTTAGCTTTAAGTGAGATGTTCTGTGAGAATCTTTTATGAACACACTAGAGGTCCGATGCACGAAATTTGTGCATTTGGAGGGGGTCCCCTCAGCCTTGCCTGCACCCTCCTGCAGTCCAGGAGCCCTCAGGGAATGCCAACCAACAGCTGGGCTCGATAGTGGTATATCCTTAGTGCTGTCAAAAGGGGGAGAGATTCCCACCATCACCACTGCACTCACCAGCCTTGAGGCAGGCTCAAGGATTCTGACTGACTGGCATTCCCCCTGTGGGAGCAAAATGACCACCAGGGGGCAGCTCCTGCATTGAGTGTCTCCCCCTTTGTGGTCAGTGTGTGTCATAGCAACTGGTCATTCTGCCATTTGGTTGGTTTGCATATTAGCCTTTTATTATATAGGATAAAGGTCCTATCACCCTAGCCAGTGTGGCTCAGTTGGTGTGTCATACACTGACAGGTCTGGGGGTCAGGGCACATGCCTAGGTTTGGGGTTCAATCCTTAGTCTCTCTAGGCATGTACAAGACGCAACTGATCTAAGTTTTTCTCCCATATTGATGTTTCTCTCTCTCTCTCCTTCCTTCCCTCTTTACAACCAATAAATATCCCCTTGCATGAGGCTGAGTGTATCAGTAGTAGATATTAAATGGTGAGGAGAAGGGCAATATGACTGGAAGCCTACTCAATAGGGAAGTCAGGTGCTCTCCCCCCTTGGTGCAGGCCCAGGCCTTTCCCTGCCCTCTCTCTCTGCCTCACCCCCACCCCAGTCAGAATCCAAGCACCCAGGTTGCTGAACCCAGGTTTGGTCTGACCTCAGGGGTCAGGCACTGTGTTGTTTCCACAGCCTACAGCACACTTGGTGCCGGGTGACTTGCCTGCTCCCAGATTCCAAGGCATATGCCCGCTCGACTCGGCCTGGGAAGACGCCATCACTCCTTGTATTTCAGCTCCAGGCCCAGATAAGAAAAAAACCAGCCACAGCCATCTTGGTTGGGTTAATTTGCATACTCGCTTCTGAATGGCTGGTGGGCGTGTCTTGTGTGTGGCAGAGGTGTGGTCAATTTGCATATTACTATTCCATTAGATAGGACATACTAAGGCTGCTCAGCCACTTGCTATGATGTACACTGACCACCAGAGGGCAGATGCTCCAACCCGTAAATTAGTTTGCTGCTGGGGTAAAGCAGATCAGGAATGAGCGAGATGGGCCGGATACACCCTGGAGCCCTCCCACAGTCCTTCCCCAGCTGGCCAACATCCTGCATCCTTCCCTGGCCCTGATCATGCACTGGTGGGGGTCCCTCGGCCTGGCCTGCGTCCTCTCACAATCCAGGCTGAGGGACTACTCTCCCTCCCTAAGTGCATGAATTTCATGCACTGGGCCTCTAATAATAATAGAAAAAGTAGGATTATAATAAAACATTTTTAAATTAGGGTGAAAATTAAGGAGATGGGTTAAAATGATATATTTTGCATCTTTTTATAAGAAAAACAGTTATGAAGGGATAGAGGAAAGAAAAATCAAAATCCTATGTTAAGAAGCCTTCATTATTTTACTTCTAAACTTCTGTTTTATCATTTCTATAACTTAAAAAGTTATATTCAAACTATGAACTGAGAAAATCTACTTAACTATGCTCTCTTTTGAGTATAATTTAATCCATTTTTAAATGGATTTCAATTAGCCAGAGATTCCCGAATCTTCCAAGACAGATACAGTGACTTATTTTTCTTTTCAGCATCTACTTCAGATCCTTCCCTAGCTTTTTTAAAATTTTATTTTTATTACTATTTTTAATCAGAGAGGAAGGGGGAGGGAGAGATAGAAACATCAATGATGAGAAAATTATTGATCGGTTTCCTCCTGCATGCCCCTCACTGGAGATCGAGCCTGTAATCGGGGCAAGTGCCCTGGACCAAAATAGAACCTGGATCTTTCAGTCCACAGGCTGATGTTCTATCCACTAAGCCAAACCGGCTAAGGCTTCCCTAGCATTTTAAGTGACAATTTTACATTGTGTTCTATTTGAAACCCAGTTTCTTCTGCTGAATATTTATATATTCAGTGCTAAAACCAGCACTTTGTTATTTTATATTTTAGTTGAAAACAGCTCTTATCTTTTCTCAGAGACAGTTAAAAAAATAGAGAAACAATTTGTGTGACTATAACGGTTACTCATAAACTATTAACTAATGCTATAATGAGAATTGTATTTATCTAAACCTTAAATTACTGTGTTATTACATTAAAACCTGTGTGTTTGTGTGTTTCTATTACCATAAAGAAAATCTAATTATAGGGAATCAATTTTAAAATACACTTACCAGGATGATTTGAAATGGGAGGCTGGAATGCAAGCTCATTGTGAACTGGCCCTAAAGAAAAGATAATAGAAATCCCAATTTTATTTATTAAAAGTTCACTAATATTAAAAATTTTAATATACCTTATTTAAATATAACTATCATACCTTAGGAGCTGTTTGGATCAAGTTACTGCAATGTCTAAGAACTTAAAAGTTTAATTTACATTACTTCATAATTATAATAAGCAAATACTCTTGAATTACTTTTATATTTAATAGCTAATATTTAGTGCTATATGCCAAGTGCTGTTAAGCAATTCATAATAGCTGTACATGCAAAACTTAATGTAAATTATAAATTATTCATGTAACATATAATACAGTATAATTTATAATGTAATTTGTAATAATTTAAATTGTTAGGTCCATTCTAAAATCAAGTGTTTATGGCTTATTAAGGCTATTTCCAAAATGGAAGAGTAGCTAACATAATTGACAGATTATTACGTGTTAAGACATTGTGCTAGACATCTCATATGAATTATTACATTTATTTCTTACAACACTGGGTCAAATACTATTAATTACTACTGTTACACTTGAGGCTTAAGGAGATTAAATAATTTGCCAAGGTCACACAGCCAGTTAAGGGTCCATATTCAGCACCCTTAACCACTATGCTGGCCCAGCAGTCATTAAAAATTATATTCTCTTAAGACATCAAAAAACAATAACGTAACTGAAAAAAAATAGGATAAAACAATATACACAATATGATCTCCTCCTCCCCCCAGATTTATATATACCCATTTATATGACTGGAAGGAAAACATGATGAAGTATTACAAGTGGTTATCTCTGGATAGTATTATAGGATTCTTATTTAAACACTTCTATATTTTTTAAGTGTTCTTTGGGACTATTAACCTTTTATTAGTGGGAAAAAGATTTAATACATATAAAGATTTATACTATTGATTTTACTACGTCAAAGAACAAAGTTCCTCTTCTGCCTGAAACTACAAGCTATGGTTAATCAGTAGGGTATCCCTCCCAATCAAGCCTGCAGAGCAATGATGGGTTCCACATCAGAGTGTCTATGGTATGCTAAATACTACAGTGAGGGAAACCTTAAGATCTTGACACTAAAAGGGTTTCAATCAACTTGGGGGTGAATATACAAATACACATGAGATCTAAGAACATGCACAAAGCAAACAAACAAATGAATGGAAATCAATGTGGTGTTAATGAAACATTAGCAACGGAAAAATAAATATATTTGGTAAACATTACTCCTCTTAAACAAAGGTATGATAACAGTTAAAAAAATGTTTACAAAAAATACTGAAAAACTCTAATCATTTAATAAAACTAAATTGTAAAGTGAATAAAAGATGTAAAAACAGTTTTTAAATGGAAAGAAAAAAAAAAAAAAAGTCTTCAAAAAGAAAAGGCCCTTACAACAAAAACAAGAGCTTACAGTAATGTCCGGGATGGGGCGGCATAGGCGGGTGGTGCTGAAGATGGCCGTTTTGGTGGTGAGGCAAATTAGGTGTGTATGGTGCAGTCCTACTTCCAGTCCAGGTGGTAGTGCTGTCTAAAAATTAAGGCCCATATGGATTAATTTGCTCTTAAAAAGTCTGCCTAGTTCTTCTCAACTACTTAAAATATTTTAAAAAGCATGTACATACTATGATGGTAAGTAGCTGGCTGACCAGTAAATCCATTCTGCTGCTGTCCTGGCTGAGGCCCTGAAGCTATCTGCAACAATCCTTCACTATGGCTGCCTGCCAGTATACTGGGAGGCTGACCTAGAGGAACAAGAAGACATTAAGATGGCACATTTATAGGTGAAATCCTATGGTTTTATACAGTAACTGAATGACCAAATTACATGACAGTCACAACTATAAAAATGAGCAAAAATGAACTCATTCATGACCTAGCAAATAAAAAATCCCAAAGTCCTCTATAAGGGCAAACCTTAACCTGAAGAAGTTCAAAATCACCATATCTTAAGTAATGGCTAGCTAATTTTAGTGGCCTATTTCTTCACAATATTCTTCAAATTTCAGAAAAATCCCACTATATGTCTAGCCTATCACACTAACTTCTTCAAAAGCGTATCAGTTCACCGGCCACTCCATTCAGTTCTGGACCTTTCTGATTAGGACTCCAAAATTTCAGGCTTAAGTAAATGTTGATGACTGGAAAGTTCATTATTATCAGCTCTGGTACTGGTAATAATAGAATGCTAGGGTTTGATAAGAGAAAAGCAGATCAGGCAAATATTTTAAATGAAATGTGATGGATAAGGTGAGAAAATTAAAATAAATTTCAAGCTCCACTGTTTAGTTGTTATAGTATGATTGCTAGTTTAAAAAAAAAAACTATCACACTATCGGTCTTCTTTGAAATTTTGTCTTGTACTTTTAAAAACCAAAAATCATCTCTTTCCAAGAACATTATCACACTCCTGAAATTACAGGAAACTAATTGCCCTCTCTGTATGTAACAAAGAAGACTAAGCTTCCCTTGGCATCTATTCAATTAAAAACCATGCCTTACTGGCCTACATTTTTAAGGTCTTTTTTTTTTTTTTTAAGTGGGGAAAAAAACTTGATTTCTTCAAGCAAGCATTAAGTCAACTGTTTGTCTCATTTCTAAAGCACTGAAATGTCATAATTATTGTCTAATCCTCATAGGACTCAGCCCCAGTTTAAAATGAAGTCATTTTAGCAGGCATCAACAAAGGCACGCAATTTCAACCTCTAGATACTATCAACAGAGGTTAGTATCTGTGCTCTAGCACTAATCTATACTGTAAAGTATTCTTTAATTCTCCATCACTACCCATTCTCTTTGTCAACTATGTTCCCAAACTGGTAAATAAAGAGTAGGCAACCTGGCTGGTGTGGCTCAGTGGTTGAATATCAATCTACGAACCAGGAGGTCATGATTCGATTCCCAGTCAGGGTATATGCCTAGGTGGCAGGCTCAATCCGTGCTGGAGGCTAAGAGCACTAGTTAGCATAATAAATGTGAGAAGGCTGATGGACATTTTCAGCAGGGCTGAAAATCTCCATATTATTACCTGCTGCAAATAGCTGTAGGTATTTCCCCTAACCTGATAATCTTTTCCTGTTTACCAAACTTTACCTTTGATATGCCTTTTCATTCCTAAAGGGCCCATGTGTTTTCAAGTAAATAAAAAACCCTGTGCCTGGAGATTTGGGAAGCCCACTTCACTAGAGGGTGAGGCCTCTACCTGGCTCCCCCAATGCTTTCCAAATTTATATTTTTTGTCTAGTCTCTATTCATTTATGTATAGCTCTTCTCCAGATTCCTGAAACCTTGCTGGGAAAAGATTGCAGCAGTAGCCAATCAGTGGTTCTTTCATCACTGATGTTTCTACCTCTCCCTCTCCCTTTCTCTCCCAGCGAGTAGGTATGATGCACACTGACCACTAGGGGGCAGACACTAAACGCAGGAGCTATTAAGCGACAATAACTTTGCAGAGTGCCCTCTTGCACTCCAGGCCTCCTTGGGGATGTCAGACTGCTGGTTTCAGCCCAATCCACAGGTCAGGGTGAGAGACCCCACCTGCTGGAGGGGCCTGGCTCACTCCGCAGATGCCCTTCGAGCTCTGGTGCTGTCCCAAGTGTGGCTGGCTGGGGAGAGACTGCGGGAGGTTGGCTCCAGGGCGTGTCCAGCACATCTCGCCCAGTCCTGCCCCGCCAGCCACCTTCTAATTAATTTCCTTTGGATGTGCATGAATCCATGCATCAGACCTCTTTTATACATATATCTATATAGGTATATGTATATGTAATATATATAGATAGATATATGTATGAGAGAGAACAGAAACACCAAGTGGTTATATCCTCACATGTTTTCATATAAACACTAAATATTCATCTCATGTAGCAAATCCAAAAAATACTGCTCTGAAGAGGTAAAATGAATTAAAGAGGGGGAAAGTTGGTATGCTTTACTCAAAAACTCAATTATGTAAATCAGTTCTCTGTATTCCAAAGGTCAAATTTATATATTAGATCTGATCTGATATTAAAGAAAATAGAATAATGCTCCCTTTGGTACGGGCCAACAAAGTATCAGTCCAAATCTATTACCATCTAGTGCTGATGTGAGCTTAGATGCAATCTCCTTAGCAACCAGGTGCAAATAACATATACATGCCAACAACCTGCTCTGTGATTAATTTTACAAAGCTATTCCAAGCAGCGAATTGTCCAGACATCCGTAACTGTAAAAATAAATAACAGTAGTCATGACTGCCTTCATCAGGCCCGAGAAAAGTTGAATCTAATAGCCCTGTGCCAGAGAAGCTGGCACCTCTATTATGGGAAAAACCTTTTTGAAATAGACTTCTTACTTGAAAAACACAGCATTAGCTTATGTAGAATTTAGCTTTATTTTAAAATCAACTAAAATACTTAACATTTATCTTGAGAAATATTAGTTTGTCAAGATACCTTCTTCTAAGTTTTACATATTGGGAGACTGAGATGACTATTATAAAGCAATAGTCAGCCAGATAAATCAAAAGAAGAACACTGATTAAAGAAAAGCTCGCAATTCCATTACTACAGATTTTTATAAACATGTTGGTTTAAAACAACTTATTAACTACTTAACTATTTCTCAAAAAGTATGTGAAAGCTCAAGAGGCTTCTTACTTCTGCATGTAATATTAGATAAGTACAAATTAGACTACTAATTTAAATCTAATAATCAAAGCCACTACTTAACTTCCAAGTGACTATACATCAACATAAAAATATTTAAATAAACTACAAACCATATTTTCCAGGACCAATCCAACAACCTATTTAATACATATTTACCAATGAAAGATACCATTGTACAGTCCAGCCGGTATTGCTCAGTGGTTGAGCAATGACCTATAAAACAGAAAGTCATGGTTTGATTCCTGGTCAAGGTACATGCCCGTTGTGGGCTTGATCCTTAGTAGTGGGTATGCAGGAAGCACCCCATCAATGATTCTCTCTCATCACTGATGTTTCTCTCTCCTTCTTCCTTCCTCTCTCTAAAATTAATAAAAACACATTTTTAGAAAAGATACCACAGTACTTTTAATTATTACTTATTTGGAGTTTTCCTCCAAGTGATAAATGTAAATATTCAATGGTTAAGGAAATTCAACTGCTGACTACATCTGATTCTACAACTCACTTGTGGAAGCCACAGGAATGTTGGGAAAGTTGGTGGTGCTGCCAGCATTAGACTCGGATGGAGCTAGCAGAGCTGGGGTGCTGTATGTCTCCGTTGATGCACGATTACTTGGGGGATGCTGGATGGTTTGAATCGAATGCCCTTCGGTGGATAATGATGGTTGTCCCTCAAAGTCATGTACATATTCATCCTTCACCAACATACTTGGTGGAGCTATATAGAAAATTAAGCATATCTTAAAATCTTATAAGCTTCTATTCCTAGGAAAAAAAATCTTATAATAATACCTAAAATTAATAGTAGTGTAAATAATTCAGAGGATTTTTTTTATATTTGAAAAGCATACTACTTTATCAGCAAAAGCTATTTATTTAGAGGTAGTGGCATCAGATATACTTTATCAATCAATTTGACTGACCCCTTGAAATATGAAGATAGTCTATATTCCAACAACTTCTAGCAATGGTTCTAAAGAGATAGTCCTTACTTAACTTAGAAATAACAATTACCTTAAATATATAACATGAGGCAGGCAAAAACCAAATATCTGGGGAAACTATTTATCCAGATGAGACAAATTGAGATTGGGCACTGAGATATATCTTTTTGCTAATTTCACACATGGTAGAATTATGAGTCAGATCTGATAGCTATCCAATTCCAAGATCTAGAATTATTAAGTAACATAGTCTTTGAAAGTTAAAATATACTGAATATCCCTTAAGGTTTAGGACCAGACAGAAAAATCCTAAATGCTAAGTCAAACTGAAATTCCCTTCTAGAAACCTAACCCAAATAATGGTACTCAGTAACAGCAGTATTTTAAGTTAGGGAAAGAGTGTAAAGGGTCTACAGAACTAGAACCCCTCAAAAGCACCTCCAAAGGAGATTCTAATATAGCTATAGTTTCCCAACCCCTAACACTCCTTAAGCTAAATGCTTTAATTCTCCAAAAAATATGGATGGAGAACAGTGATGATGGGAAGTGACATGGTATCAATATCTATGGCGACAGGGCTTTAACCACTCTGGGTCCCTTCCCAGACCATCACAACTACTTCTATTACCAATCAATTGTTTGAAGAAACCTAATAACCATTAATAAGTACCAAAAGGCACTAGAGTATTCTTCTGTTACTAATAGCACAAAAGAAAAGTGGAGAATAAAAACAAGTGGACTTTCATGGTCTTCCTAAGTTTTGTTTAAGGTCAGAAAATATTTCTGAATCACCTCAAAGATTCTGCAACAGAACAGGTACTGAGCCACTAACTTCTCCCCAGAACAATGGCACACCTTTTTAAGATAACAGTGGCTCTTCACCAGAGTTTCTCTGCAAATTAATTAGTTCTTAGAATTTTGAGTTTATTAACATGTTCTAAATAACAGAGCTAAAGTTTTAACAGATCCCTGTTGCATTTCCCCACCTCAAAACACTTTTCCTTTTTAAAATAGGACTACATCAGTGGTTGGCAAACAGCAGCTTGTCGCTCTGTTGACTAATGAGTTTGTCAACCACTGGACTAGATCATCTGTGATCAGCATATACTTTAAAGTGCCTTTGCTTAATTTACTCAAAATGTAACAAGACTGAAAAAAATATTTATATATACAGTTTAAAATCATTCTAAAATCACCTATCATTCATAAAAATGTTAGGCTGAAATGAAGAAAAATAAGAATACTAGAATTTTTCATGTTATATAAGATTCCAAATTACCAAACATTACCAGGTATTTATACCCATTTAAACCAGCTCTGTTAGATTTTCTTCCAAAATAACCAATTGTAAATTATTCAAAAAAAAATATTCTTCCTTTGTATGTTTTATGATTCCCTATTATATTTTTATACTACTTTAGTTCATAAACAGCAGTTCAAATAAAAGCACCAACAGCTTATTTAAATCCAGTTTTAAATGCTGATGCATGCAACCCCCACAACCTACATTTCCAAAGGGGCAAGACTTTTTGTGGTAAATGTTATCAGAATCTACAATTTCTAAGTAAATGAAAAATAGAGGAGACTGAATAAAAAATAAAAAAAATTAAAAAAAACACAGAGAAAGTTACAAGAAACAGGTTACTTACCATTACTCTGCAATGTTAATCCTGAGAGATCTTCATTTTTAAAAGGGGAAAAGAAAATGAAACATTAATCATTACCATGCAAATATTTTCCATTATATTTTAAATTATTAAATGTAAATAATAAGCCAAAGTCAACACTTCATGAACCATTTCAAGAATAAATGCTATCATAATACATGAAATATTCAACTCTATCATGCTTTTCATCTTATTTTCCAAAACAATATTCTAAATGGGCAAAATACCAATTATTTAGTTTTAGCAACCAAAATACAAGTGTGTTCCAAAGTTGAAATTTAAATATTTATATTTCATTAAGAATGTCTGTCTCTTTAAAACACTATTGAGATGTTTACCCCTTGTGCTTCTAAGGAAAAAAGCAAAGTTTACTTACCTATTCCAGGTGATACAACTCGTTCATAGTGATATGGATTCACACAGACACTATCACATTTTAAGTCAAATGCATACTGACAATATTTAACATGTTTTAGTTCATTTTTGTGAAGATCAGGCCACCTCCAGAGACGGGCATAGATCACATGAGGAAATCCTTTCCGGCCTGCCACCTAGGAAAAAGAAACACCATTTATTGAACATCAGTTATGCACCATACATTATACAAGGCACTTTATACGTGTTCTCAGTTTATCCTTACAATCCTATAAAGTCAGTTTTTTAATCTCCATTTCATAAATGAGAAAACTAAAGCTCAAAATAACTTACTTGGCCATGGTCACAAAGCAGGGAGCTTAGGTATGATTTCAAGTCCTGTGCTCAGGTTTTAAAATGCAAAAAAAAAAAGTATGGCTTTGTTGTGTAAAATCTAGAAATAAAAATGTTAAATCTAATGACATGTTCCTTTAAAAATATTAAAGACAAGAGAAATATTATGTAGTTCTACATGAAAAAAAAGTGACCAGTTAAAATAAAGGTAAAGAAAATTTGTCAGATCCTTTCGGAGTTCATAAGCGTGATGATTGGGTGTTCATGCAACTGTGTGAGATGTGCTGCCCATTAACCTTGTTACGCCTTTGGCACATGACCCGTCTGACGTGAAAAAAAAAAAATTGTCAAATATAAGCTTTTTAACTTAAGTTTTAAAGATATCCTGAATTCTTCTTGATTTTTTTATATAAAAGTACCAAACATACATTATCAGATTTCTAAATTATTTAAAAAAAACAAAAACCACAAGTATAACTCAGGTTTCCAAAATGTGCAAATAATACCAAAAAGAAAAAAAACATAAAATGTAACAAGAATGAATACCAAAATGCTAAAGGTATGGGTTTTCTTCTGCCTTTTATTTTTATGTTCCAAATTTTCTACATTTAACTTTTTAGTCAGAATGTTAAACAACTTAAAAAATGTCTTTATTATATGGAATACATATTCTTCCATATATTCCCATAGTGGGTATTGGTACAGGATGTATAATATCTAAAGAGATGGGGCAAGAATTAAAATATCCCAAAGAAACTAAAAGGGAATGACAATTTCTTTTTTAATCTGCCACTACAGAAGATATATGAAAACTCAAGTACAAGACTAACCTGAAGCCTTCCATCCAATGTTCTCTGTATGGTAACACATTTACTAGGATGAGCTCCATTTGTAGTAATGGCTGTTATTAACGAATCCAATTCATCTTTTTTCTCCTTCAGCTTCTTTACCAAACTTTCAATTGCTCTTTTTGCAAATGTTTCACTCTCTCCACCTTGTCTATGGCACATCAAACTATGTACAATGCTCAGACAGGCATCATTGCTTGTTGGTGTATTTGTAATAGACATATTGTCCATTTGTTAAAGTTATTTCTTTTAAGTCAAGTATGTCCCCAATTTCCAGAGCAATTTTGATATTTTGGAGGCAGTGGAAAACACGGGCTAATGTCACAAGGAAAATTGTTAAAACATGTGGTATTCAGGATAACCTTAAAAAAAAAAAAAAAAAAGACAGACATTAGAACACATTTTATAAAGTAAATTCAATTACTTTAGAAAGTTGGAATTGCTCCAGTTAAGACAAAGATTCAATGCACATAATTAAAATTTGGTGCTTAGCCCTAGCTGGTTTGGCTCAGTGCATAGAGGGTCGGCCTGTGTACTGAAGGGTCCCGGATTCGATTCTGGTCAAGGGCACATGCCTAGGTTACAGGTTCAATCCCCAGAAGGGGCATGCAGGAGGCAGCCAATCAATGATTCTCTCTCCTCATTGATGTTTCTATTTTTTCTCTCCCACTCCCTTCTTTTCTGAAATCAATGAAGATTTTTTTTTTAATTGATGTTTAGATTTTTAAATGACTTAATTAAAATGTTGCTGTTTTTGACATTCCAAAAATATTAAAATTAATCCATCTCATTATTATAGAGGCATGCTCAATCAAGCCTTATTGACTGTAATAGTCACCATAAAGTAAAATCTTAGGACTTTTAAAAAAGAAATACTTAGGAAGGCCAGCACTTAAAAATATTCTTGATAGATAAACTAGTTAAACCTAATAGTCTATCACTAACACACATGAAAAATTCACTGTCACCTAATACAAATGTCGTTTATCAGTGTATAACACCCATCTTTGTTCAAAGAGACTACTGACAACAATGAAAAGATAAAAACTTTTACATGGGCAAAGGATTTTAAAACTAATTTCTACAAAGCATGGCCATACGCACATGAAAAATGCTCAATCATTAATCATTAAGGGAAATGCAAATCAAAACCACAAGGAGACACCACTTCACACCCACTAGATTTGATAAATCAAAAGGATATACAAAGACAGACAAATACCATATGATTTGTCTTTTACTAAGAATCTAATGAACAAGCCGAAACCGGTTTGGCTCAGTGGTAGAGCGTCGGTCTACGGACTGAAAGGTCCTGGTTCGATTCCGGTCAACGGCATGTACGTTGGTTGCGGGCACATCCCCAGTAGGGGGTGTGCAAGAGGCAGCTGGTCAATGTTTCTCATCAACGTTTCTAGCTCTCTCCTTTCCTCTCTGTAAAAAATCAATAAAATATATTTTAAAAAAAAGAATCTAATGAACAAAATAAACAAAATAGAAACAGACTAACAGATATGGAAAACAGACCGACAAGCATCAGAGGAAAGAGGACTAGGTGAAAAAGGTGATGAGATTTAAAAAACTTTCATAGACACAGACAACTATGATTACCAGAGGAAAAGTGAAATGAGGGGACATAAAAGAGGGTAAAGAAGGGATAAATAGTAATGAAAGGACATCTGACTTTGGGTGATGAACACATTATACAACATACAAATACTGTATTATATATAAAACTGAACACTTGAATCCTATAATTTTATTAACCAATCTTACCCAATAAATTCACTAAGACATTTTTTTAAATGATAGATACAAACAATAGGATAATGAAGGCCTGGAGCAAGCAACAAGGGTGGGCCAAAAGGGATCAATGGGGAGAAAGGGGGACATAAATCTTTCAAAAATAAAGATTTAAAAAGAACAATTAAAAACAAATAACGACCTAGAAAAGATTTTTTTTCGAAAAGGATATACAATAAGTACTGGCAAGGGTGTGGAGAAAATCAAACTCTCATACTTTGCTAGTATAATTGCAAAATGGTGCAGCCACTTTTGGAAAGTTATCTGCCAATTCCACAAAATGTTAAACGAAGAATTACCCTATGACCCAGCAATTCCACCCAAGATTACTGAAAACCTATATCCACATAAAAACCTGTAAAAAATGTTCATAGCAACAGCATTAATAATGTCCAAAAAGTAGCCAAAACCGGTTTGGCTCAGCGGTAGAGCGTCAGTCTGCGGACTGAAGGGTCCCAGGTTCGATTCCAGTCAAGGGCATGTACCTTGGTTGCGGGCACATCCTCATTGGGGGGGGGTGCAAGAGGCAGCTGATCGATGTTTCTCTCTCATCGACGTTTCTAGCTCTCTATCTCTCTCCCTTCCTCTCTGTAAAAAATCAATAAAATATATTTTTTTTAAAAAATAAATAAATAATGTCCAAAAAGGAAATACAACCCAAATGTCCATCAACTGAAAATGTATAAATGAGTACATCCATACAATGTAATATTATCCTATATAATAAAAGCTCAGTGACCCAAACCGCAGAACCACCAGAGACCAGAACCACCATGGCCTTGCCCTGGCCGTCCCCGCCCCCAGGAGGAACCCCACCCTGATAGGGGGTATGGCTGACCTGCAAACCACCCCTAGCCCCTCACCACTGCCAGCCCCGCCCCCACCCAGGACCCCCACCCAGATAGGGTATTGGCCAGCCTGCAAACCAACCCTGGTGCCTCGCCCCCCAGTGGGAACCCCACCCCAATCTGGGACCACCATCAGGGCAGGACAGCCAGGCCCCATCCATGCACCGGGCCTCTATATAATAAAAAGGGTAATACGCAAATTGACTCTAACGGCAGAATCAGAACAACTGTTCAACCAGTCACTATGAGACTCACTGACCACCTCTCAGTCCCTTTCTCTGGCTGGCAGGCTCTGATTGCCCAATGGTGAACAGGAAACTTGAAGTGGCTGGTGGGGGACACGGGTGGCACCAGACCAAGGTCCCCACCCTACCAGTCGCCCCAGACACAGAGGGCAACCCACAGCAGGGGCAGGGCCGGCAAGTGGGCAGGAACGGCCAACCTCTTGGTCCCTTCCCCTGGCCATCAGGCTCCGATCACCCAATGAAGAACAGGGAACCGGGGCAGGTGGCAGTGGGGGGAGGGAGGTGTTGGCTGGCTGCAGGTAGCTGGGGAAGATGGCCCTAATTGCAGGCCAGGACTAGGGACCATACCCTTGGACAAATTTTGTGTACCAGGCCTCTTGTTCAGTCATAAAAAGGAATTAAGGTTGGTACATACTACAACATGGATGAACCTGTAAAACATGCTAAATGAAAGAATAGTCACATATTATATAACCCAATTTATATGAACTATCCCGAATAGGCAAATCCATAAAAACGAAAAGCAGAACAGTGGCTGCCAGAGGCTATGGGGAAGAGGACTGAGGAGTGACTGCTAATGGGTATGAAGTACCTTTCTGGGGTAATGATAATGTTCTAAGATCGAGAGCGGTGATGCACAACTCTATCATTCTAGTGAAAACCATTGACATGTATACTTTAAAAGGGTGAATTTTATAGTTTGTAAATTATATCTCAAAAAAGTTATTAAAAAAGAAGAAAAGACCACTGAGCCCTGGCCAGTACACCAAAAGGTTGTGGGTTCAATCCCAAGCCAGGGCACATATCTAGGTCACAAGTTCAATCCTGGTTGGGGAGTATAAGGGAGGCAACCCACCAATGTTTTCCTTCTCACACTGATTTTCTTTTTCTTTCTCCCTCTTGCTCTCCCTCTCCCTCCTCCCACTGTTCATTCCCCTCTCTCTAAAAATTAATAAAAACATATTCTTGACCCAGCTAGTGTGGCTCAGTTGGTTAAGCATCATCCCATGCACCAAGAGGTCACTGGTTCAATTCCCAGTCAAAGTACATGCCCAACTTGTGGGCTCAATCCCTAGCAGAGGGTGTACAGGGGGCAGCTGATCAACGTTTCTCTCACTGATGTTTCTACCTCCCTCTCACTTCTTCTCCCTGAAGTCAATCAACACATACACATCCTTGGATAAGAATTAAAAAATATTTTTTTTTAAAATGACACTGAATTCCTCAATAGTTTTTATCTGTGAAAGCAACAGGGTAAATTATTTTCTCCTTTTTCAATTGTTTTTTAAATTATTTTTTAGAGAGAGGAAAGGAGAAACATCAATGAAAGAGAAACATGATCAGCTGCCTCCTGCACACCCCCTATTGGAGATCAAACCCATAACATGATCATGGGATGTGCATGGGACAATGCTCAACCAACTTACCCACATAGGCCAGGGCGGTTATTTTTTTTTATTTTTTATTTTTAAAAACTAAAATGCGCGCGCACACACACACACACACACAGCTAATATGCAAAGTGTCCCCTCGGGAGTTTGGGAGTTTGATTGCTCACAAGGACTTGGGCTGACCACCAGGAGGTGGCATGGAACAAAGGAAGGCCCCAGTCAGCAGCCAAAGGCCCCAATCGGCAGCCAGGCCTAGGGAACCTACCTGTGGACAATTTTCGTGCACCAGACCTCTAGTAGAAAATAAATATTAATGATCAAAACCCAATAACCCAATCTAATCATGAGAAAAACAGCAAATAAATTCAAATTGAAGGACATTCTACAAAGTACCTGACAAATTCTGCTTCAAAGTCAAAGAGTGAGAAAAATGGCACAAGTCAGAGGATTATAAGGAGACAGAACAATTAAATGCAATGTGGTATTGTAGATTGGATTCTGAAGCAGAAAAAAAACATTTAATGGAATAACTAGTGAGATCTGAATAAAATCTGAAGTTTAGTTAATAATGATGTGGCAATGTTGGTTTTTTAATATCAACAAATAATAGCATTAAAGGAAAGTGAAATTAAGGGAAATTGAAACTGGGTATATGGAAACTGTTTAATCTTTGAAATTTTTCTGTAAATCTAAAAGTATTCCAAAATAAAAGCTTAAATAAATAAATAAATATTAATGAAGAATCTATACTTATATGTATGAAACTAAAGTAACTTATCTGAGTTCAAGTTCCAATATGGAATATGAAAAGGCCATCGGTCTAAGAATAAATTACATAAAGCTGGAGTATAGGCTACACTTTGAGTTGTTTTTCTTTATTGGTTGACTAGAGGCCCGGTACACGAAATTCGTGCATTGGGGGAAGGGGGATGTCCCTCAGCCCGGCC